AAGGATAATCTGAATCTCATCAGGTTTGAGCAATTTGCTAAATGCAGAGGGCCAGAAAATTTAGCAGCAATATATAGGCATCGACAAGACTATCAAATCAGAAAACAATTTGGGAAGCCTATCATATTTAGTTGAATCAGAGGGAAAAAAAGTGCAAATATTATGTACTGGCAAAGTTCTGGCTTCAAATTCATTGGCACTTAGTCTTCTCATAAACCAAAGTCAGTGGACTTAAAAAAAAAAAAAGAAGAATTTATGGATTTAGGCCCTTGCCTTGGTTCTTAGTAGCCTCTTTTGGCTTTCAAAGGGGCAAGTCCCTGAATGCCAGGTTTTCATCAAATAGATATGACTGAAATACAGTTTGGCCATAACTCTGGGGAAAATTAATTCTGGGTGTAATACATCTTGGACTTTATTTATGCTTACCACAAACACATTAATATCTATTGCCAAGGTTTTGACCAAGTTAGAAAAATCAGAACAAACAGCTGCTGAAGGTATTGTGGCAATACACAACAGTTGGTAAATTAAAAAAAAAAAAAGTCAAGCTACTGGGGAAAAAAACTCAGCTTGAATTTGCATCTTATCCGTTACTGAAAAATCAGGGAAAACAGAACACCGTGCTGAATTGAACACAGAATCTCTGCAAAAGACAGATCAAATCATTTTAAAATCTCCACTGATCGAGGCACAGACAGCCATCTCACGGGATTTTAACATTTGGGCTTGATTTAAAGAGAGAAAAAAATCTATGTGCTAGCAAGATTTCAGAAATCTGTCTACACCAGGGAAGGGAATCTTTGGCTTTGACTAACTTTAAAATTAAATTAAATTAATCTAAAACATCCAGACTCTTGAAAGGGAGACAGCACTGATTGGTGGTCTAAATACGTCTTTCATTTTACACCTGAGACCAGGGTCCAGGCTAATCAAGAATTAAAGCAGTCTTTCCCAACCTTAGCCATTTTAAGATGTGTGGACTTCAGTTCCCAGAATACCCCATTGCTGACTGGGGTATTCTGGGAGTTGAAGTCCACACCTCTTAAAAGGACTAAGGTTGGGAAACAATGAGTTAGAAGCAGTGTTTCTCAACCTTGACAATTTTAAGGCATGTGGACTTCAACTCCCAGAATTCCACAGCCAGCAATGCTGGCTGTGGAATTCTGGGAGTTGAAGTCCACATGCCTTAAAATTGTCAAGGTTGAGAAACATTGAGTTAGAGGAATCAAGAAAGTTTACAAGAACATGATAAGGTCCTGCAGAAAAGCTTTAGCACAGGGGATCTTCAAACTTAGCCCTTTTATGACTTGTGGACTTCAACTCCCAGAATTCTGGGAGTTGAAGTCCATGTCATAAAAGGGCCAAGTTTGAAGACCCCTGCTTTAGCATAATGAGCACTCAAAGAACAGAATAAGACTTGCAATGTAATTACTGGAATGGTTATGGTACCATCTAAAACATTGGTGGGTTTCCCCCCCCCCCAAAAAAGATTTTTTTTGGCTGTTTTAAGAGGTCTGAACTTCAACTTTCAGAATTCCTTGGCAAGCATGCTGGCTGAGGAACTCTAGGAATTGAAGCCTGCACTTTTTAAAGTGGCCAGATTTGAAAAAAAAAAACTAGTCTAAACCCATCACCTGTTGAAACACTTTCTGATCCATCTTAAATAATATCAAGGACCTCCATGGGAAAAGTCAAGACGGTCGGTCGTGATCCTATCGTCGAAGCCCTGCCAGTGTCAAGTTGCACAATTTGTGTACAAATGTAACCAGAGCAAACTCTTGTCACCTTTGTTCACAAATTGTGCATCTTGCAAAACCGAGGACACCATTTTGACTTTTTGGACACCTTCCTCTCCAGAGGCCCTTGAAATTCTAAGAGGCATGTCTGACGAGAAAGAGGAAGAGCCTGGAGTATGTATGGAAATAGTATCAAATTTGTAAGCCAGTTTAGACATAACAGCAGCTTATTTCCAGTGTAATTTGGAATTACAGACCAGTAGGGCACAAATAAGCTAAATGAACAAAGCTGACAAAAATGAAATAATAATCAAGCTTTGTGCCCAAAATTGAGTGTGTTGGTTTTGGCTAAATGTTACAATCTAAAGTTCAAATTTTGTTCCATCGGCCTCGAGTCAAGTGATCTATTTTTGCCTTGAAAAAAATCAAGAGTAAACCTTAGCAACAGGAACACAATGAGATTCAACACCTGATTATCAAACACTTCAATCACTGCGCATACATTTTACTATAAACCCATTGTTTTTATTTCAGACGCTATGAAATAAACCAGATGGGCCTTTGGAAATCCATATATACAAATAAATTAATCAATGGCATTATTCATTAGAGATATGCATTTGTCCTCCACGACAGACAGGGGATACTTCAAGTTTTGTGAGTGAACGCAGAGTATAAGAGAGTATAACTGAGCTAGCAGGGTACTTATCCGATTGATAATTTTGCACATCATCCTTCAAATTGTTAAAAAAAAAATTATATATAGGTCCAGAGGGAGAGAGGAAGCCACAGAGAAGCATTTAAAAAGAAGCTGCAAAAAACAAGGGGGGGGGGGTTCATCTACACCAGGAATATCCAACCTTGGTGACTTTAAGACTTGCAGACTTCAAGTTGAAGTCCACAGGTCTTAAAATTGCCAAAATTGGACACCACTGAGTTACACATAGAGTGGAACAATAACCAGACAGACTGACCAACTATTTCAAGTATTATGTGAGATAAAACTGCTGCCTGTTTAAAAAAAAAACAAAAGTGACCACCTGAAAATAGAAATCCTGCAGAACAGCCCCGAAGCGCTTCCTAGACTGAACGTTTTCATTTTGCAACAATTCAACGCATGCACAAATACACAGCAGGGGGCATTCAAATGCATAGCTGCCGCCTGCACTTGGATATGACACTGTCCTTTTGGGTACAGAAATTATGACGATATCACAATGGGCCACGACAACCTCACACACGCGATGCAAAGCCGGGGATGGGATTTTGTGGGTGCCCATCCCGGAGAGAATGCAAAGTGGAGAATGATTGTGAGTCAAAGAGGGTGGGGAAGAGATTGAAGCAAAACCAGCTGGAAAAACAGGGGAGGTTCTGACCGATGCTTTTATTCACAAACCTAGCATATTCTACCACAAAACTGAAACAGCTCTGGAGCATGGAGGAAACTTTGAGAAACCCACTGCCTGGGTGAATATACGACTTCCATGTGTGATGGATTCTCCCACCATTCCCAGAGAAAATAGAAAGAACCCAACTGGAATTGAGTCCAGAAGAACATCTACAGAACATTTCTCCAGACCAGGGGTGTCCAAACTTGGCCACTTTTAAGACCTGTGGACGTCAACTCCCAGAATTCCCCAGCCAAGGTTGTCTACACAGATACACGGCAAAGCAAGTGAGTTTCCTTTCAAACAAAAATCGCCATTTAGACATACAATTCACACAACCCTATCACACACTGCTCCAAATAGGTAAAGTACCGCACAATAATTTGAGACCGATTGCTCCCCTTTTATAAAGGAAGGCCTGAGGCAGAGAAAGAAACCAGCCAACCAACCTACCAGAAAAAATCAGATAATGGATTTCGAGGTTGATCTGGCCATCTCAGGTCCAACTTATTCCTCACCTGATCAGTTCTAGTCAAGTTTCAGTCATCTGATTCCTGCCCTGCAGGTCGCAAAAGGGGAAAAAAACCCAGCAGCCAATTCTACCATAGTTATCGCTATCAGAATTGTGAGCTGCTAGTTCACTGGTCGTCAGCCTGGTGGCCTCCGGTTGTGTTGGAACTACAAGTCCCCAAATTCCCAGCCATGGACCTTGAGAAAGGGAGGGGGAGGCAAGAGACATTGCATGCATTAAGTCTGTCGAAGTGCAAAGGACGTGAATTGCATCCTTTATATCAGCCCCATGACCGCCACATCATCATATATCAGAGGCAGGGTGTAGAAACCAAGATGGAACTATGCATGTTGTGAGCAATGGGCTCAAATTATATCAATGGACCGAGGTCATCGAAGGAATGCTTGACATCACTATCATACGTTCCCAGGACAGGAGGTGAACCCCACCGGCTGGTGAATGCAGAGGGTCGCACCCCAACACACCTGCTGGATGATGGCACCCATTTAAGAAACCACGAGCTAAGTGCCAGGGATGTTTAAAAACATAAATTAAAAAATAAATCTAAGTATATCACTAGAATACATAATTTATAAAGTGGACTTGATAGATTTTTTATTATTATTTTAAAAAAAGTGATTTGAGAACAACTGTCAGACCAATGTACATTCCAACAAAAATCTAAAAAGTCGCTTTTGGCTATAACACTTCATTCCAACTGGGCAGTGAGAACATGCATTTGTGCCCCAATCCCCCCCCCTCCCCAGAAGTTTAACTATAAATAGTTTGGGGAATGCTTATATATATATATTTTTTAAATTTGAAAAAGATGAATGTGCGTTTTAATTTAAACATCAAAGAGATGATTCAAGTAATTTCTGGTTTTGTAGTTAAAAACCACTACTTTGGCCCTCTCCCACACAAGAAAACTGCACAGCCATCTTTGCAGAGGTGATTTCCCTCTCCAGATATAGCGGATTTCAACTCCTTCCCACCGTAGAGAAGGTCGACAGGACGCCTATGAAGCATATCCGACAGCTTTGAAAGAAGAAAGCGGAAAAAAATTTCCAGAAGACAGCATTCTTATCCCTTCCTTGCAACATCAGCATTTTTCCAAATAAATTTATGGAGGCAGAAGCCAGGGAGCTACGGGCAGGTGGGCCACCTCTGCTGCTCTCCAGTGGAGCAGGAGGGGGGGGGTTCGTAACTCAACTGTATGGAAGTTTTGCGGCTCCTTGGATAAATTTTAAGTTCTCTTTGAAAAGTGCCTCATTTGTTTCTAACCCAGGGGTTCTCAGCCTTGACAACTTTAAGACTTGTGGACTTCAACTCCCAGAATTCCTCAGCCAGCAAAGCTGGCTGAGGAATTCTGGGAGTTGAAGTCCACAAGTCTTAAAGTTGCCAAGGTTGAGAACCTCTGTATCTAACCGGTCTTGCTGCTTAAAAATGCAGAATGCAACCGTCACACTCGTCATGATCAACTCCTTAGTACATTGACAACACAAAAAAAAAGTTTATAATGTAAACTTGACACATGCTATTCTTCCTTTTTGAAAAACGGAACGGGAAAATAATGAAAGAAAGAAAGAAAAAAAGAAGACTAAAGCGAAACAGATTCGGCATGCTACAGTACTTCCATGTCTCATTGAGATACGACACTGAAGGTGACAAAAAAGATGAGGAGGGGATTACAAAATGTTTTGTCGGCCGGTTGTGAAGCTGCCCAATTGACCATTGGTGAATGCCTCCCTTCCCCCATAATCTATGCCTAATTGTCCATGATTCTAGTGGCTGGATTGGCCATATGATTATTCATTCTGATCCGTCCGGGTTAAATTAAGTGCTTCCTTAGCTTAGTTGAATCCATCGGTGTGGTAGCTGGGGTGAGAATCCGCCGTGAGCTGAGTCGTCTCTGTGACCGAGGCTGGCTGGATCACGATGGGGCCTTCGGTGTTCTCTGAAAAAAAAGAGACGGCAACTTTTTTGAAAGTTGAACCTCAAGAAGGGTCTGCTAGCTCCTTTTCGGACCGACCTACTTTATTAAAGGTTTGTTTAAGCATTAACAGAATATGCAACACGTCATCATTGGGGGGAACATATATTTGCCAGAAATTCCCGATCTACTGTAAGAAAAAGTAATAATAATAATAATAATGATGATGATGATGATGATGAAGTTGGAAGGGACCTTGGAGGTCATCTAGTCCAACCCCCTGCTCAGGCAGGAAACCCTATACCATTTCGGACAAATGGCTGTCCAGTCTCTTCTTAAAAACTTCCAGTGTTGGAGCATTCACAGCTTCTGGAGGCAAGTAGTTCCACTGGTTAATTGTCCTCACTGTCAGGAAGTTTCTCCTTAGTTCTAATAACAATAACAATAATAGTAAAGTTGAAAGGGACCTTGGAGGTTATCTAGTCCAACCCCCTACTCAGGCAGGAAACCCTATACCATTTCGGACAAATGGCTGTCCAGTCTCTTCTTAAAAACTTCCAGTGTTGGAGCATTCACAGCTTCTGGAGGCAAGTAGTTCCACCGGTTAATTGTCCTCACTGTCAGGAAGTTTCTCCTTAGTTCTAATAACAATAACAATAATAGTAAAGTTGGAAGGGACCTTGGAGGTTATCTAGTCCAACCCCCTGCTCAGGCAGGAAAGCCTATACCATTTCGGACAAATGGCTGCCCAGTCTCTTCTTAAAAACTTCCAGCGTTGGAGCATTCACCGCTTCTGGAGGCAGGCTGTTCCACTGGTTAATTGTTCTAACTGTCAGGAAGTTTCTCCTTAGTTCTAGGTTGCTTCTCTCCTTGATGAGTTTCCATCCGTTGCTTCTTGTCCTGCCTTCAGGCGCCTTGGAGAACAGCTTGACTCCCTCTTCTTTGGGGCAGCCCCTGAGATATTAGAAGACTGCTATCCTGTCCCCCCATTCTGTAGCTACTCAGATGGTACAGGTAGTCCTCCACTTACAATCAACCACAATTTAGGCCCAAAATTTCCATTGCTAAGCAAGACAATTATGAAATGAATTCTGCCCCATTTTACAACCTTTTTTGACAGTTGTTAAGTGAACCATTGCTGTTTATGGAGATTCTCAGTCACCCAGGGCATGGTTGTTCCAAAGGTGCTTTTTTCAAGAGGCAACTGGACTTTCTTGTTTTTCTTTGAAGACGTTTTGCTTCACATCTGAGAAGCTTCTTCAGCTCTGACTGGATGGTGGGAAACAGAAGGATTTATACTCCTTGCAGACAGCTGGTTGTTTGCATTCTTTTAGAGCAGTGGTTCTCAACCTTTCTAATGCCGCGACCCCATAATACAGTTCCCCATGTTGTGGTGACCCCCAACCACTTATACATCACCGGGTGCCAGGGGCGTGGCCAAAGAAAAGGGGGAAAAATGGCGGACAGCCTTGTTTGGCGACCCCCGTGAAATGGTCATTCGACCCCAAATGGGGTCCCGACCCATAGGTTGAGAACCACTGTTTTAGAGAGTCATTGAGGCCACCTGGAGTTTATCTGTGTTCCACACCCATTTGCACCACTCAGGTGACCCTGAGGACACAGGTAAACCTCCAGGTGGCCTCAACGACTCTCTAAAAGAAGGCAAATGACCAGTTATCCGCAAGGAGTATAAATCCTTCCACTCTCCACCATCCAGTCAGAGCTGAAGAAGCTTCTTGGATGAGAAATGAAATCTCCAAGAAAAACAAGGAAGTCCATTTGCCTCTTGAGAAAGCACCTCTGGGACACTACTGTTGTTAAGTCAATCTGGCTTCTCCATTGACTTTGTTGGTCAGAAGGTCACAAAAGGTGATCACCGGACTCCAGGAGGATACAAATATCATAAATACATGCCAGTTGTCAAGCATTGGAATTTTGATCAGGTGATCCCGGGGAGGGCTGCTGCAGTCGTAACTGTGAAAACCGGTCGTAAGTTCATTCTTTTCAGGGCTGTTGTAACTGCAAATGGTCGCTAAACCATTCGCCTGGTGCACCAGTTGCGGCCTTATTTGGACCGGGAAGCTGTACTCACGGTCACTCATGCCTTTGTCACCGCAAGACTAGATTACTGTAACGCACTCTACATGGGGCTACCCTTGAAGAGCGTTCGGAGGCTGCAGTTGGTTCAGAATGCAGCTGCGAGAGCGATTGTGGGTGCGCCGAGGTACACCCACGTATCACCTATCCTCCGCGAGCTGCACTGGCTTCCTGTGGGTCTCCGGACGCAATTCAAGGTGTTGGTTATCACCTTTAAAGCCCTTAATGGCATAGGGCCAGGTTACTTACAGGACCGCATACTGCCGCACAGTTCCCAGAGACCGGTGAGGTCCCACAGATTGGGCCTCCTTCAGGTCCCGTCGGCCAGACAATGTCGGCTGGCGGGCCCTCGGGGAAGGGCCTTTTCTGTGATGGCTCCGACCTGGTGGAATCAACTTCCCCCTGAGGTTCGAACTACTCCCACCCTGCCGGCCTTTAAGAAAGCCATTATTTTCTGTTCTGGCAGGCCTGGGGCTGATGTCCCCGGGGGGGGGGGGGCGGGATACGATCAGACACACTGTATGAATGTATTTATTTTATTGTTTTATTGTTAGATTATTGTTTTAATTTTGTACGCCGCCCTGAGTCCCTTGGGATTGGGCGGCATATAAATTTTAGAAATAAATAAATAAATAAATAAATAAATAAATAAATAAATAAAGGGCTGTAAGTCGAGAGCTACCTGTTAATGGGTGGTATAACAGGCTGGTGAGAACAAATTACGGTGACATTCTATTTTGCCCATTTGTTTTACAGATTTCACCTACCGTATATTCCGACATATAGGGCGTCCCGGCGTATAAGACGACCCCCTAGTTTGACGCTGGGTCACAAGACCATCGACGCCGAGTCGCATGCCTAGAAAATCGTCTTATACGGCAGAAACTACATGTATTTCTGGCATATAAGACGATCGACGCCGAGTCGCATGCCTAGAAAATCGTCTTATACGGCAGAAACTACATGTATTTCTGGCGTATAAGACAATCGACGCCGAGTCGCATGCCTAGAAAGTCGTCTTATATGCCAAAAACTACCTTATTTCCGGCGTATATAAGACGACTCGGTGTATAAGACGACCCCCAAGTTCGGAGGCTGTTTCGACCCTCTCAAAAGTCGTCTTATACGCCGGAATATACGGTATTTCATTTTTTTAAAAAAATCGTATTTACTGGAATGCTCAATTCGTTAATTTGCTGTAATTTTTTTTATTAAGCAATTTAATGTCTGATGAATTATAAAGCGATTCAACCAGTCAACAGAAGTAAAAAATGTTTGTCGATCATTCGTACGGGAATGTTTTCCGTGGTGGTTTTTGATCAGAAAACGAACATAAAAATACAATGGTGGATAGACAGTTTTAGGCTTTTCGCTGGAGGCAGAGAGCGGCTGGATTGATGGGGCGTATAAATTTGGATAGGGGAAGGGAGGAGAAAGTAAGGAGGGTAATAAGAAAAATCATTATTTGAGAGAGCTCTCCAACTTTCTTGAGGTGGTCACAACATACCTGGGGTGATGCATGTGCACAGAGGGGGAGTGAAGGTACCATCTGAAATCTTTGTTTATTTATCTGTTTACATATTTATTTATTGTTTTTAGAATAACTAACTCAAGGTGGCAAACATAACCACTTAAAGATGAGCCAGCTGTGTGCTGCAGCTGCCAAAAAGGCCAACACAGTGCTAGGCTGCATCAACAGAGGAATAAAATCAAGATCACGTGAAGTGTTAATACCACTTTACAATGCCTTGGTAAGGCCACACTTGGAATGCTGCATCCAGTTTTGGTCACCACGATGTAAAAAAGATGTTGAGACTCTAGAAAGAGTGCAGAGAAGAGCAACAAAGATGATTAGATAACTGGAGGCTAAAACATATAAGGAACGGTTGCTGGAATTGGGTATGTCTAGTTCAGGGGTGTCAAACTCAATTTCACTGAGGGCCACATCAGCACTGCGGTTGTCCTGGGGGGGCTGGGTGGGTGGGGCCAGAGTGGGTGCAGCCTACTGGGTGGGCGTGGATGGAGTGGGTGTGGCCTACTGGGTGGGCATGCCCAGTTCTACATCATTCACGTCAAGGATGTCTGGGCAGGAGTGGGACAGATCTGAGGGTCTCTGGCAGAAGGGGGTGGGACCGGGGCAAGTGCCAAGGCATGGTCCACCAGGGCAAGCGCCAAGATGGCCACCACAAAATTGTACATTGGCTCCCAGACAGCCTGGGCCAAGGCAGCGGGGACTGTTCCCTCACTGTTTCCAGGATGGCTTCGCGGGCCACATGAAACCACTTTGCGGACCGCATCCAACCCCCGGGCCTTGTGTTTGATATGTCTGGTCTAGTTTAATGAAGAGAAGGACAAGGGGGGACATAATAGCAGTCTTCCAATATCTCAGGGGCTGCTCCAAAGAAGAGGGAGTCAAGCTATTCTCCAAAGCGCCAGAAGGCAGGACAAGAAGCAACGGATGGAAACTCATCAGGGAGAGAAGCAACCTAGAACTAAGGAGAAACTTCCTGACAGTTAGAACAATTAACCAGTGGAACAGCCTGCCTCCAGAAGCGGTGAATGCTCCAACGCTGGAAGTTTTTAAGAAGAGACTGGGCAGCCATTTGTCCGAAATGGTGTAGGGTTTCCTGCCTGAGCAGGGGGTTGGACTAGATGACCTCCGAGGTCCCTTCCAACTTTATTATTATTATTATTATTATTATTATTATTATTATTATTATTATTATTATTATTATTATTATCATCATTATTATTATTATCATCATCATCATCTTGTTGTTGTTGTTGTTGTTGCTGCTGTTATTGTTATTGTTATACATCTTCCTCCTCCTAATTTTCCCACAACAACTGCCTTGTGAGGTGGGTTGGGCTGAGAGAGGGAGGGACTGGTCCAAAGTCAGCCAGGCGGTTTTCATGCCTAAGGCAGAACTAGAACTCACGGTCTCCTGATGATTAGCCCAAAGTCACCCAGTTGGCTCTGAAGCCTAAGGTGGGACTAGAACTCTCCGTCTCCTGGTGATTGGCCAAAAATCACCCAGCCAGCCTTCATGCCTAAGGCAGAACTAGAACTCACGGTCTCCTGATGATTAGCCCAAAGTCACCCAGTTGGCTCTGAAGCCTAAGGTGGGACTAGAACTCTCCGTCTCCTGGTGATTGGCCAAAAATCACCCAGCCAGCCTTCATGCCTAAGGCAGAACTAGAACTCACGGTCTCCTGATGATTAGCCCAAAGTCACCCAGTTGGCTCTGAAGCCTAAGGTGGGACTAGAACTCTCCGTCTCCTGGTGATTGGCCAAAAATCACCCAGCCAGCCTTCATGCCTAAGGCAGAACTAGAACTCACGGTCTCCTGATGATTAGCCCAAAGTCACCCAGTTGGCTCTGAAGCCTAAGGTGGGACTAGAACTCTCCGTCTCCTGGTGATTGGCCAAAAATCACCCAGCCAGCCTTCATGCCTAAGGCAGAACTAGAACTCACGGTCTCCTGATGATTAGCCCAAAGTCACCCAGTTGGCTTTGAAGCCTAAGGTGGGACTAGAACTCTCCGTCTCCTGGTGATTGGCCAAAAATCACCCAGCCAGCCTTCATGCCTAAGGCAGAACTAGAACTCACGGTCTCCTGATGATTAGCCCAAAGTCACCCAGTTGGCTCTGAAGCCTAAGGTGGGACTAGAACTCTCCGTCTCCTGGTGATTGGCCAAAAATCACCCAGCCAGCCTTCATGCCTAAGGCAGAACTAGAACTCACGATCTCCTGATGATTAGCCCAAAGTCACCCAGTTGGCTTTGAAGCCTAAGGTGGGACTAGAACTCGCTGTGTCCTTGTTTCTATCCTGATGCCTTAACCACTACACTGACTGATTCTCAACTATATGGCATCTTAAGCCACATCGTATCAGCCGTTTCTCCTTTTTCTGAGGTTTGGAGGTGTTCCTGGTGGTTTAATTGGAGCAACCAACACTTACCCCTCTCGTCTGATTGTACTTGGGCCTCCAGGTCTTCTGGAGAGACATAAAATTCCGGTTCATCTCCTTCGGGGGGTTTCGGTTTACACTTTCCACAGCAACAATTACAGCAACAGCAGAGACAGCAGCAGCAGTAGCACCCGGTGATGAGCCCACAAAAGACAAACAGCGCCTGGATAGGGGAGAAAAGAAATGTAGACCAGCAGCCCCCAACCTTTGAGGCATCAGGGATGGCTTCCGCGGAGAGAAGTTCTTCTTCCACGGACTGGAGGGGAGCATGGTTTTGCGTGCTGCCCTGCATCCCACAGATTGGGCTTCGCTTGTTTGCGCGACTCGGTTTCTGGCGTGCTGCGGCCCAGTGACAGTCCATGGACTAGGGCAGTGGTTCTCAACCTGTGGGTCGGGACCCCATTTGGGGTCGAACGACCATTTCACGGGGGTCGCCAAACAAGGCTGTCCGTCATTTTCCCCCCTTTTCTTTGGCCACGCCCCTGGCACCCGGTGATGTATAAGTGGTTGGGGGTCACCACAATATGGGGAACTGTATTATGGGGTCGCGGCATTATAAAGGTTGAGAACCACTGGACTAGGGCATGGGTCAGCAACCTCCGGCTCCGGAGCCGCATGTGGCTCTTTGAGCCTTCTCCTGTGGCTCCCAGCCTCCTCCGCCATTTGCAGAGAGAGAGAGAGACAGAGATAGAGAGAGGCACTTGCGCTTCCCTTCTCTCTCTCTCTCTCTGTGTGTGTGTGTGTAAAAAAAACCTCTGTTCTCCAACAAGCTGACAAGCTTATTGGGCAAGGCTCCTGCCTTTGCTGCGTCTCCGCAGGAAGCAGCAGAAAGCAGAAGCGCTCGCTCTCTCTCTCTCTCTTTCACACACACACACACACACATACACACACACACACACACACACACACACATTCACACTGAGTGGGGGAAGAGGACTGGCAGACCAAGAGCAGGAGCCAGCCGAATAAGAATGTGTGTCAGCTTGTCAGAGAACAGCGTGAAGTCAGCTTGCCAGGTGAGCAGAAGATCGGAGAGAGGGAGGGGGGAAGAGAGGGAGGGAGGGAGAGAGAGAGAGAGAGAGAGAGAGAGAAAACACTCGTGCACAGCAGCCTCTATTTCTTTTTAATTAAACTCTTCAATCAAGCTCTTTTCCTTTTGTGTGTGCGCGTGCAAGCGCACACAAGTTTTGCAGCTCCCAGTGTTTTTTTCTCTGGGAAATGGGTCCAAGTAGCTTTTTGAGTGTTTAAGGTTGCCGACCCCTGGACTAGGGGTTGGGGACCTCTGATGCAGACCATCCGTATGGAGCAAGCAAGCTTGCCTGGGGAGACCAGATCAGAAAAAGCGAGTGACAAGAACTGGGTATTCTGAAAGATTGAGTATCTTTCCACTCTCAGCAGTGGAAAGATCTACTGCTGATTAGATGTCTTAAGAGCTGATGGCTGCTCGTTGGGTGTGATCTTCCACCTTGACTATACAGATTTATGACAATTATTCAGCAGCCTTTAGAATCCTCTGCACTGGACAGTGATCCAAAGGCATTCAGGTAGTTAATCAGCTCATTCCATACAGGGCAGCCTTGCAAGCCAACTCAGAAGGGGTAAATATCTACAAAACACGGTAACCAGGTTGCAGGTGGAGAAAACCTGGCATTGTAGAACCACAGCCACCTTGAGTCCCAAGGCTGGTTATTATCTAGAACAGCGGTCTCCAACCTTTATGGCATGGTGGCCCGTCTGGGGGGGGGAGGGGGGAAGAGGGGAACTAGGCCGTGAAAGTGGTAGGCTGGTACGTACGCACATGCGCGGGCAGCTCTGATTGCACAAGTTGAACTGCACACGCATTTGTATGCCTGCTGGCCAACCATCTGCATAAGTCCAGCTGCGCACGCGCGCGTGCACCCCAGCCCTCCGCTAGCATGATCCACAATCCAGTAGTGGCCCACAGCCCGGGGCTTCGAGAAGACTCGAAGCCTGATCTAGAAGACTCTTTGCCATTTAGCACTGGGGTAGATGGGAAATCACTTTGCTAAAATCAGATCTGCCTGTCCAGACTGAATCCCAAGGGAGGGCCTACTAAGGATCCCCCTAACTTCAAGAGATGCTGTTCCTGGAGTATGGACCACCACAGGCCTTTTCGGTGACAGCCCTAAGAGCAGTTGTAAGCAAGATGAGAAAGAAATGAGAGGAACACTATACATGCATAACTGGCCTATCTCATAAACAGCAGTTTGCTCTCCGGGAAAAAGAGATTAAAAATGTTCAAAGAGGCATCATCTTAAAGAACTCACTTATAAAAGAGGGCTGGGGGTCGTACCGGAGTTTTCAAAATTTTTGTTATCTTTATTAACTCTTGCACTGAAATTCCTGATCAAGGCCTGCGGGATCCTTGCTTCTTCTACGAGGTCTTATTGTAAAGTGACTTCACCAGGATGTCAGATTCTGGCTGGGGAATTCTGGGGGTTGAAGTCCACCAGTCTTAGGGGTGCTAAGATTGGACACCCCTGTCAATCTTGTCCGTTTGGGCTCATTGTGTCTCCCATATCATAAGCCTGTCAAGACCGTCATAATTCCAACATGCTTTTGGGTTTGAATGATTGTGGGTGAGCCCTCCTATTGTTACTGTATTGATGCCATTAATACATTAACAATATTGTAGTATTTCTTTTTCGTTTATCTTGCTTTGTGAATACTGCCCTGTATCACGATGGATTGGGGTGAATAAACGCAGAGATGCATTTAGAAATATTTCTAAAGCTATCGAGAGAGAGAGAGAGAGAGAGAGAGAGAGAGAGAGAGAGAGAGAGAGAGAGAGAGAGAGAGAGAGAGAAAGACAGAGAGAGAGATGATCTAATACATCTACACTGCATCCATAAAGACAAATTGGTTCTATACAAGAGTAGCAATAGTTTAGTATGACCAAGTTCTCGGATGAAGCTCAAAATGTTTCTATCATGGTAGATAATCCAGGAAAAAGCTGAAAAGTAATAGATATCTGTGGCTGACTCATCTAAACGGGAAAACAGAGCCCTCAAACGTACAAGAGGCTTAAAATAGGTGACATCATATGATATTTTCAAGCTAAAATACCATTAATCCTTTTTGTTTACTAGATTTAATTGAGTCAGATCTTTTTCATGTGTTAAGAAAGCTTCCAGAATGCAATTTAGAATTTTCAAGAAATTGTACAGGAAAAGGATTGCTCATGAAAAATTCCGGACGTTAAGATGCCCTTTTGACCTCAAGTTTGTACCTTGTCATTAAAAAAAAAATGAAAATGAATCCATTTTAGAAAAGTGAATCGTGATTACGACGAACGTTTGACAATATCAAATGCAAATGCCAGACTTTAAAAAAAAAGATTTTAATGCATACCCTTGTTAAACTATCAATGGAAATTTGCTGTCCTCTGCTAAAATATTCTCTTTTCCTCACCCATACAGAAGAGTCATCTAGAAAAATATGATCTCTTATGACCTTTCTGCATTCTTTAAAGAATGCAAGCCTGCTTTTTGCCTAGGACAGTGGTTCTCAACCTGTGGGTCGGGACCCCATTTGGGGTCGAACGACCATTTCACGGGGGGTCGCCAAACAACACAGTCCGCCATTTTTTCCCCCTTTTCCTTAGCTGTGCTACTCCCTTTTATTCTATTGGCTTTTGAAAGCCAATAGAACAGAGAGAATAGAATTATCCAGGCTGTCTCTGCCCTGCTGAGCCCACAAAAAGTCCCATTCTGCAAACAGTGATGCACCAATTGAGTAGTTCTCAACTTACGACAGGTTGAGTAGTCCTCGACTTACGACCGGTTGGGGGTCGCGGCATTAAAAAGGTTGAGAACCACTGGCCTAGGAAATCTTTATTACCGCCAGGAAAATTAACTGGCGCACAAATCATATGTGATTTAAATCTTAAATCATATGTGATTTAAATTTTCTTTAATCACGGTGCAGTTAGCATTTTTACAAGCCTCAGCAGCTATTCAATTTATAGAGGGGGAGAGAGAACAGGATAAAGAGACCAAAGAAACTGGTCTGTGATAGCTAAATGGAAGACTAAATACTTAAGAGCTTTTTCTTCCACGTTAGAAAAAAAAAAGGCACCCGAAGGGGACAAATTTTGTTTTAAGACAAAATCAATTTCATTAATTCCAAAACAGAATCCACTTGCTGCTTACCTTGGCCCACCAGCTGGACAACACGAAGTAGGTGTTCACGTTCTCTTCTCCAAACTGTTCTGCTACGTACAGGCCCAAAGAACCGTACTTATCATAAATATTTCTTTTGGTAGCATCAGTCAATATTGCGTGGGCGTTGTTAATCTCTTTAAATTTATCTGCGGCTTCTGGATTATCTGGATTCTTATCCGGGTGATATTTTAATGCAAGTTTCCTAGGATAGAATTAAACGGTATTTAGGAGGGGTGGGGGAGAAAGGCTTGACAAAATATGAAATATAGTGCTGGAACAGTCATACGGGAGTTACTTTTCGAACAGCTGGAATTCTGAGAAAAATGAAGGCCAGAGCTCTCTCTAAGACACACAATCGTTTATACACCAAATATGTTGTATGTGAGAGTGGAACACAGACTTCACATTCCGATACATCAGCAGTTTTCAACCTGTGGGTCGGGACCCCATTTGGGGTCGAACGACCATTTCACAGGGGTCGCCAAACAACGCAGTCTGCCATTTTTTTCCCCTTTTCCTTAGCTGTGCTACTCCCATTTATTCTATTGGCTTTTGAAAGCCAATAGAATAGACTCTCTTGAATAGAGTCTAATTCTATTGGCTTTCAAAGCCAATAGGAATTGTCCAAGCTGTCTCTGCCCTGCTGAGCCCGCCAAAAGCCCCAGTCTGCAAACGGTGCTGCAAGTTGTCTGCAGCGAAGGCGAGCTGTCTGGAAGTTTCCACCCCTCCCAGCGGGCGCAGGGAGAGTTGCTGGCGCATGTGGGGCCCGGCGGGTGCCTTACCTCCCTTGGGCTGGGCCAGCTGGTGGCCCAGCCAGTGGTCGGCCTGCGCCATCTCTGCTGCTTACCAGCTACGCCTCGGCCAGCGCAGGGGGCGGCACCACGCATGCGCAGCACTCCCGGGCAGGGAAAGTCCTCGACTTACAACCGGTTGGGTAGTCCTTGACTTACGACCGATTGGGTAGTCCTCGACTTACGGCCGGTTGGGGGTCGCGGCATTAAAAAGGTTGAGAACCACTGCAATACATACTCAGGATGTAGCTTTTTTGGGGGAGGGGAGGTGTCTGTTGTAATTGTCATTAAGTGACTGATCGTAAGTCAAGGACCACCTTTAGTGAGGAAGGCATCAGGCTGGACACCTGCAGCGATCTGTGACCCGATTTCAAAGTTACAATGGCTGCATCCCCTTCACACAACCAAGCAATCCCATTTTGGATGCTGGAAACCGGCTCACCTTTCGGCCTCTTGCCACCTCCGCTAATCATGTGATGGAAATTTTTGACAATTTTTTTTTGCCAGTTTTGCTAGTGTTTATTTCCAGTTTCTGCCCCCCCCCAAAAAAGTCCATTGTGTAAAATGGATTTGCTTAATGGCCAGCATAAAAAAATGCCAGCAAATCGGGTCTAGTCACATGGTGACCCATTTAATGACCACCATGACTTATGACCGTAACTCTAGGCTCAATGATGGCTGTAAATCGAGGATTAGTTGGACCTGACTTTCCAAAAAGGCACTCGCTATAAAGAGACAATTTTTACATTTTTTTTTAATTTTTATTCAACTTTGCCAGTGCAGCTTCTTTTAGGACAGTGGTTCTCAACCTGTGGGTCGGGACCCCATTTGGGGTCGAACGACCATTTCACGGGGGTCGCCAAACAACGCAGTCCGCCATTTTTCCCCCCTTTTCCTTAGCTATGCTACTCCCTTTTATTCTATTGGCTTTTGAAAGCCAATAGAATAGACTCTCTTGAATAGAGTCTAATTCTGTTGGCTTTCAAAAGCTAATAGGAATTGTCCAGGCTGTCTCTGCCCTGCTGAGCCCGCCAAAAGTCCCATTCTGCAAACGGTGCTGCAAGTTATCTGCAGCGAAGGCGAGCTGTCTGGAAATTTCCACCCCTCCCTGCTGAGCAACTACTAAAAATGTAAGTAAAAGAGGGCCAGGGGTGGGAGGTGGGAGGCTGGCAGGCACAGGGAGGGTTGCTGGCACGCGTGGGGCCCGGCGGGTGCCTTACCTCCCTTAGGCTGGGCCAGCTGGTGGCCCAGCCGGTGGTTGCCCTGCACCGTTGCTGCCCCTTGCCAGCTACGCCTCGGCTGGCACAGGGGGGCGGCACCACGCATGTGCGGGGCTCCCGGGCAGGGAAAGTCCTCGACTTACGACCGGTTGGGTAGTCCTCGACTTACGACTGGTTGGGGTTGCGGCATTAAAAAGGTTAAGAACCACTGTTTTAGGAGGTGTGAACAGGTGGGGGACAAACACCCTCCCCACTCTAATGCACCTTTCCTGCTTTGGATTCCAAGTATCATTAACATCTTTCAAATCTCTGATTATAAACATCTCAAACTTTACCTACACGATCCTTCTAAGATATACCGGGGAAAAATTAAATTGCTAAATTTCAGACCTAAGAGAATCAATCGATTAAAAACTTTCTCTGTTATGTATCCCCTAACATCTCATGGAAAAACTGGGGCAGAGCCCTTGTTGGAGAATGTATTCCTGAGCTTATGCAGAGCTAAAAGAATAGCAAGTAATCAACTAGTGGAAGTTCCCATTAAAAAGAAAAGCTGGGTGCAATAAATCAGGGGTGTCAAACTGCCGGCCCATGGGCCGGACACGTCACCCAGAAGCCACACCCATCCCATTGCTGGCAATGGCAAAACAGTCCCGATACGTCATGCAACATCGCGAGTTTGACATGTCTGCAATAAATGAATGCCATTCATTGTATCTGAAGTAAATTATAGATTTATTAAGAAATATAAGGAAGCTTAATTTCTGCCTAAGCTGAGCGAATAGCGAAAGAAAGAAAGAAAGAAAGAAAGAAAGAAAGAAAGAAAGAAAGAAAGAAAGAAAGAAAGAAAAAGTTATTTTTTGAATGTAGAGGAACATTTAGCTAACTATAGGCCAGATAAGGAACAAAGGAACATAAAGACTCTTTCCATTTACTCCAGAACAGGCTCATAAGTACCAAGAGAAGAGAATATTTGTAGCTCAAATATTGGTGTCAACACAGACAGGGCAAGCCATTCATCATCGTCATCTTCCTCCTCCTCCTCCTCCTTCTCCTCCACTTTGCAAATCCCACCTCCTTCTATCATTGATGATGTTACCTAGTTAGGTAATTAAACATAAGCAAGCAAGCAAGCTCAGAGAGCACTATGGAGTCTACAGGCTTGTAACTGCAGGAGGATGATTCATCTCCATCACAAACTGTCTAACCTATGCCTAGGCAACCTTGGCTCTTTTATGACTTGTGGACTTCAACTCCCAGAATTCCTGAGCCAGCATGGCTCAGCTTGGAAACCTCTCCCTTTCCCCTCAGCATGGCTGGCTTAGGAATTCTGGGAGTTGAAGTCCACGAGTCGTAAAAGAGCCAAGGTTGCCTACCCTTGGTCTAACTACCCTTCAAATCAAAACTTTAGAATAACATTTACCACCAATAGCTCATGATTCCCATCCAACCTTTTTTTGTGTGTGTGTTTTTAAATAAATTATTCTTGATCAGCTTGAGTCATAGACAGATTTGGAAATACCTGATACGTTTGTAGGAGAAACACTGTTAACTTCATATTTTGTAATTTATTGGCTGGATTTCTAACTCCCACTGATTAGAAACAGCCAAAGAACAAGTTGACCTAAACCAGTGTTTCTCAACCTTGACAATTTTAAGGCCTGTGGACTTCAACTCCCAGAATTCCACAGCCAGCATTGCTGGCTGTGGAATTCTGGAAATTGAAGTCCACAGGCCTTAAAATTGTCAAGGTTGGGAAACACTGACCTAAACCCTAATTGCATGACTGAAATGAAAAAAAAAAAAGGTTGAAGTAATGAGGATAAATTTTGGCGTGGAAAGAATAAAAAACACATCCCTAGGATTTGGAGCTGTGTGGTTCTATTTTTTTAATTCGGGTTTTGTGTGTGTGCTTAATACTAGGAGGGAAAATCCAAGTCGATTCGGCATTTTCTTTTTTGCTCTGCGGCAGCGCCCTCAAACCTGCGGATTTGGTACCTTCTTTACCTCAAACATAACTGTGAACCCACAAAAACATGCCACATATTGATTGGCATGAAGTACCACAAAGCACTTCTCTTCAGATTTCAGGTGTTCTACACTTCCATTAAACACAGAAACATAGGAAGAAAGACGGCCCATTGAGTCACTCCTTTGAGTTTCTGTTTTATTTTTATTTTTATTTTGGTCGGACAATGTGTTTATTATCTCCAACATGTTTAAACTCAGTTACTGAGGATTGACCCACCACCTCCACTGGAAGTTTTGGTTGCAAGCTTCCACTACTCCTTCTGACAAGTGATGTTTTCTAACATGACTTTTGAACTTCCCTCTTGTCAGTTTAGAGGCTATGCTCCCATGTTCTTAATATTTGTTTCATTTTTGCTTCATATTGGAAGTAAACAACTCATTTTAAAATAAGGTAAGTGATGTACAGAGAAGAGCAACAAAGATGATCAGGGGACTGGAGGCTAAAACATATAAGGAACGGTTGCTGGAATTGGGTATGTCTAGTTTAATGAAGAGAAGGACGAGGGCTGACATGATAGCAGTCTTCCAATATCTCAGGAGCTGCCCCAAAGAAGAGGGAGTCAAGCTATTATCCAAAGCGCCTGAAGGCAGGACAAGAAGCAACGGGTGGAAACTAGTCAAGGAGAGAAGCAACCTGGAATTAAGGAGAAACTTCCTGACAGTTAGAACGATTAACCAGTGGAACAACCGGCCTCCAGAAGCGGTGAATGCTCCAACACTGGAAGTTTTTAAGAAGAGACTGGACAGCCATTTGTCTGAAATGGTATAGGGTTTCCTGCCTGAGCAGGGGATTGGACTAGATGACCTCCAAGGTCCCTTCCTCCTCCTCCTCCTCCTTTTTATTCTTATTATTCTTATTAATGCCTTCGGTTGCAAAAACTTTGGGAGGTCATAGCTGATTGAATTTCTGTTGAACCCCCAATTTAAGAGAGTTTGGGGCAGATTCCAAATGCTTTATTTTCTCAAACAGAGACAGTTGGCCGGTGCATTTACTGGTCCATACACCAGCTAACTTCATACAGGAAGTCCTCAGCTTCTCAGTGAATGTCCAAAGTTACCATGGCAATAAAAAAGGGACTTATAACCAACCCTCGCCGTTATGATTGTCACAGCGTCCCCCCAATCATGTGCTCAAAATCCAGGAAGCTGGCAACCAGCATTTGTTTATAACAGCTGTGGCATGCTGGCGTTCTGTGATGGCCGTTTGCAAGCTTCCCAGCCAGCTTTCAACAAGCTATAGTCCAGCGGTTCTCAACCTGTGGGTCGGGACCCCATTTGGGATCAAATGACCATTTCACGGGGGTCGCCAAACAATGCAGTCCGCCATTTTTTTTCCCCTTTTCCTTAGCTGTGCTACTCCCTTTTATTCTATTGGCTTTTGAAAGCCAATAGAATAGACTCTCTTGAATAGAGTCTAATTCTATTGGCTTTCAAAAGCCAATAGGAATTGTCCTGGCTGTCTCTGCCCTGCTGAGCCCGCCAAAAGTCCCATTCTGCAAACAGTGCTGCAAGTTGTCTGCAGCAAAGGCGAGCTGTCTGGAAGCTTCCACCCCTCCCTGCTGAGCAACTACTAAAAATGTAAGTAAAAGAGGGCCAGGGGTGGGAGGTGGGAGGCCGGGGGGCGCAGGGAGGGTTGCTGGTGCGTGTGGGGCCCGGCGGGTGCCTTACCTCCCTTGGGCTGGGCCAGCCAGTGGTCGGCCTGCGCCGTCTCTGCTGCTTGCCAGCTACGCCTCGGCCGGCGCAGGGGGCAGCAGGTAAAGTCCTCGACTTACGACCGGTTGGGTAGTCCTCGACTTACGACCGGTTGGGTAGTCCTCGACTTACGATCGGTTGGGGGTCGCGGCATTAAAAAGGTTGAGAACCACTGCTATAGTCAAAGGGAGAAGCCAGCTTCGTTTAACGACTGTGATTTACTTAGCTGCAGACATTCACTTAACAACCGTAGCAAAAAAAGACTGTAAGATCAGGCACAGCTCACTTTAACAACCAGCTTGCCTAGCAACAGAAATTCTGCTCCCAATTGTGGTTGTAAGTTGAGGACTCCCTGCTTCAGGTTCTAGAAGTTCAGAGATCCAAAATCAGAAGCTGAGCTGGCTGTATCAACAAACGTTTGTATGCAACATACCTGTGTGCCACTTGGGGACGTTTAAAACTTGCGATGGCCTATCTTATAAGCTTATGTAATGTATTTAGATATACTTATGGTTTATACTTTTTTAATTTCTTTCTAAGATTTTTAGAAATTTTAATTAAGCCTATATTCAGCTCTGGGAAGGTTGGGGGGATGGAGTGGGAGGGTTGGGGTGGTTGGGTAGGGTTGTTTTTTGATCTTTTCTTTTTCCTATTTGTAAAAATTTTAAAAATTTTCAATAAAAAAAAAACTTGCGATGGCCTGCAAATGTTTAAAATGCATCTTAAATCAATGCTATCTTCAGCATGAGATTCCCACCCCCTTACCTGTATGATTTCTTAATATCATCTGAGGTGGCATTCTTGTCCAGTCCTAGAACATGATATAGTGACTCTCCGGACGTGGATAACGAACGTTGCCTCTGATCTCCCATCCTGAGCTACCCTGTCAGGAAGAAAAGTATTCAAAAGATGACATAAAAAGTGGTTTCCTATCTTCGTGAAACTAGCACTCTGCGACATGAAGTGTTGAGCTGGATTAGGAAAGGCCCGGTTCCCCAACCTCTGCAGCCGTGTCTAGTCTAATGAAAAGAAGGACTAGGAGTGACATGATAGCAGTCTTAATATCTGAGAGGCTGCCACAAGGAAGAGGGGGATCAAGCGATTCTCCAAAGCGCCTGGAGGCAGGACAAGAAGCAACGGACGGAAACTAATCAAGGAGAGAACCAAGCTGGAATTCCTGATAGTCAGAACAATTATTCAGTGGAACAACCTGCCTCCAGAAGTTGTGGGTGCTCCAACACTGGAGGTTTTAAAGAAGAGACTGGACAACCATTTGTCTGAAATGGTTTAGAGTCTCTGGCTTGAGCAGAGGGTTGGACTAGAACAGGAGTTGGCAACCTTAAATACTCAAAGAGCCACTTGGACCCGTTTCCCAGAGAAAAGAAAACACTGGGAGCTGCAAAACTTGTGCGCACACAGGAGGGGGGGGAGCTTGATTGAAGAGTTTAATTAAAAAGAAATAGAGGCTGCTGTGCATGAGTTCTCCCTCTCTTTCTCTCTCTCCTCTCCCTCTCTCTGATCTTCTGCTCACCTGGCAAGCTGGCTTCACACTGTTCTCCAACAAGCTGACACACATTCTTATTGGGCTGGCTCTCTCCTGCTCTTGGTCTGCCAGTCCTCTTCCCCCACTCAGTCTCTCTCTCTCTCTCTCTCTCTCTCTCTCTCTCTCTCTCTCTCTCTCTCTCTCTCTCTCTGTGTGTGTGTGTGTGTGTGTGTGTGTGTGTGTGGGAGAGAGAGAGAGAGAGAGAGAGAGAGAGAGAGAGAGAGAGAGAGAGAGAGAGAGAGATTCTGCTTTCTGCGGAGACAGCAAAGGCAGGAGCCCCGCCCAATAAGCTTGTCAGCTTGTCGAAGAACAGAGTGGCCTCAGGAGAAGGCTCAAAGAGCCACATGCAGCTCCGGAGCCGCGGGTTGCTGACCCGTGGACTAGTTGACCTCTAAGGTGTCTTCCAACTCTATTATTCTGTTTTGTTCTGTTATGAGGATCATTTGGAAGATCTCCCAGGATCTTTTTACTGCCTGACCAGCTTTATCAGGACAGGGACAGGTTCAATCCTATATATTCTGACTACACAAAGGAGTGACATTTTTCTTTATCGTGAAATTAATACATTTAATCGTAAGCATCCATCCCTTTTTTTCATAGAAAAAAAAATAAAGCAGGGTCTAAATGATGAACATTATTTCTGTGAACGTGATAAAATGTGAATTCGTTATACAGGTAAGTCCTTGACTTACAGCCATTTGTTTAGTGACCGCTTGAAATTGCAACCTTGAAAAAAAGCGACCGGTGACCTTTTTTCACACTTACGACCTTTTGCAACATCCTCAGGATCACGTGATCAAAATTCAGACGCTTGGCCACTGGCATGTACTTATGACGGTTGCAGTGTCCCCGGGGTCACATGAACCCCTTTTGCGGCCTTCTGACAAGCAAAGCCAATTGGGAAGCCAGATTTACTTAACAATGGAGTTATTAACTTAACAGCTGTACTGACTCACTTAACGACGGTGTCAAGAAAAGTCATAAAAGGGGGCAAAGCTCACTGAACTGCTTTGCTCAGCAACAGAAAGGCTGGGCTTAATTGGGATTGTGAGCTGAGGACCACCTGAAATCCGTGGCTTGGCTTCTAGCCACCCATCTCTCATCCAGGTTTTCCAAACACATTCCGCTAGTTTGCATTGGCAATATTTATTTTGAGCTCAAATGCTTCTCTAGCCCCAGTTTTCAGCCTGAGAGACTGTTGTGCAGATAGAAAAGGCAACGGGGAGAGAAAGGAAAGCTATGTAAGTCACTATGTAGTACGTGTTATTTTTCTAGCTGCCAGCTAGGGCCAAAACAGGCTGATCAGGAAAAAGCAGCAGACCCCATCGCCACTGGAGCACAAAGGTCTGCTTTTATTTCCCCAGAGGAGAACCTAATGATTCATGGGAAGATGATCTGATATAGGCTCAGCAAGCCACAATAACAGGGAATCCATAGAGTAGCCCTATGAGGAGATGCTTTCCTCATAGCTCACACCATTCCCTTCTAGTAAAAAAAAGCTGCTAAGAAACAGAGATGACGGTTTCCTGTTATTTCCACAGAGGAAAAGCAAGAAAAAAACCAGGCGAGACCTCTTTTGAGACTCATCCCAATGAGAAAACAAAAGGAGCAGTGCCCAGCCAGCCCGATGTGGAAAAAGCCAGCTTATCCCACTTCAGGAGTGTCACTGCAACCTCTCATTGCTCCTCAGTAACAATAAAATGCAAGGTTCCACTACTAAAGGCTATTCCAGTGACGGCGAACCTTTTAGAGACCGAGTGCCCAAACTGCAACCCAAAACCCACTTATGCATCATCGGGTGCTGGGTGGGTGTGGCCAATTGGGTGGGCATGGCTGCGGTGGTAACAGCAGACTGGGTGGGACTAAAAAGTTCAATCAATCAATTCCAACTTTGCAAGATCTTTTTTTTCCCGCGAGAAGTTGAAATTGACTGATTGATTGAACTTTGTTTTGTTTTGCACACGGTGGCGGAGGCCTAAAGCAAAAAGGTTTTATAAAACCCAGCTGAAGGCCTAGGACTGGGGCGACGGCGCGCGTGCCCACAGAGAGGGCTCTGAGTGCCGCCTCTGGCACCTGTGCCATAGGTTCACCACCACTGGGCTATTCTGTCGCCAAACGGTTCATAAGCATAGAAAGGGTCCTGGTGGATCAGGGGTTAGAATGCAGAATTGCAGCTTGACTCTGCCCACTGCCAACAGTTCGATCCTGACTGGCTCCAGGTTGACTCAGCCTTCCATCCTTCTGAGGTCGGTAAAATGAGGATCCAATAGGCTGTAAACTCTATAAACCGTTTAGAGAGGGCTGTAAAGCACTGTGAAGCGGTATCTAAGTGCTATTGCTACCCTCATATATATTTTCAATCTACCCTGGTCATATAGCTCAGCACGGAGGGGATGTATTTCCGGCCTAGTTTGCCTTAGCAAATGCTCTGAAGAGCAAGTCCATCTCCAAGTTTTGTGAATAAGCGCAAGATAAGATGGCTGCAAAAACGTTGATTAGTTTGGGGACACTTGATAAGAGAGAGGCGAAGTGTGCTGTTTCTTCTGCCAAGACCCCCTGAATTTCTGGACCAAGCACAGAGGAGGAATTCTTTTTTTTGGGGGGGGGGTAACCCTTCTTTTCTCCTTCTTCCATACTTCCTCCTTCATCTCCACTTCTACCTCCCTCTTCTCCTTCAGGTGGGCTCAAATCACCATCACGGAATTCCATGTATTTACCTGTCTCAAAGGTGGCCAGGCTAGTGTTTAGAGGGGGAATTCAATCTTGACAGTTTTAAGACTTGTTGACTTCAACTCCCAGAATTCCCCAGTCGGGGAATTCTGGGAGTTGAAGTCCACAAGTCTTAATGTTGCCAAGGTTGGACATCCTTGATTTAGAGAGAAGATTGATTCTGTTGTGATAACCATCCCTTATGGAGCCCAATGCTGAATTCCTTCCATTCAATGCATTTTTCATGATGTATTTGCCTCTCATGTTAGACCTTTCCCACTGCAGCTCGCTTAGTATGAGAGATAATATCTGTCCAAATGACTCAGGGCCTCCTCTTCCCTCATTCTCTCTCTTATTGAAGACTCTGCTTTTTTTAAACAAGCATATCAGCAGCTGAAGTCTTGATGAAACAATCTTTTCATAGCCCCAGGTCACGTCATCTGGCTCATTTTCACTTCCCACTTTCCTCCCACCTAGCATCTCTGCTGGAGTGCGAGTTGGCCACATGCAAAAGACAAAATAATAGTTTTCCATAATACAGGTAGTCCTCGACTTACAACACAGTTCATTCAGTGGTTGCTCAAAGTTGCAACGGCACTGGGGGAAAAAAATGACATGATCACTTTTCACACTTAGGACCGTTGCAGCATCACATTAATTTTCTCTAGCCAGGAGAATGTAATCAGCGCTGATGAAATGAAAAGCCGGGAGACGAGCATGTCGGAAAGGAGGTGGGCTTATTTCGGAAAGCCAGTGGGTTCCTGGTCAACTGGCAGCTTGAATGGATGACCATAAGGATTTTAATAGTTTTTACAGCGTTTTGTAATTCAGAGACTCAGTTTGTGTGCTTTGGTTATTGGAATATTTTAGTCTGTTTCACAGAGGCTAGCAATGAGTCCAAAGCATTGCCTTCCGTAGGTTTAATCCCTTTAAACAAACGTAATTAGTTTTATCTCCTAATCTTGAGTCTGTCTATGGCTTTTAGCAAGTTTTCTTTGTAGGTAAACAAGCTTAATTTAAAGTTATCGCTTTTCGCAATTGCCGCAACCTGTTGGCTACATTGTTTAAACAGAGAAATGCCTGAAGCAGTTTAAAGAGAGAAAAAAATGTAGTCAGTGTTTCTTTATTCTGGGAGGCTTTTTGTGAGTCTTTCTTGCTTTGCGCTTGATTTCTGTGTCTTTAAGGGTACAGTGAAGGGACTGGAGGTGGGTGGGTGTGCATTCTTACTACACTATGGAAGGAGAGCTCAGAAGGCAGGGAAGAAGAAGAGGAGAGGGAGAGAGGAAGAAGGGCCGACCAGCTAGCTCAGGGGTTTACAAGCTTAGCAACTTTAAGACCTGTCGACTCCAACTCCCAGAATTCCTCAACCAGCCATGATGGCCGAGGAATTCTGGGAGTTGAAGTTCACAAGTCTTAAAAGTGCCAAGTTTGAAGACCCCTGAGCTAGTTGGTAGTGGTGCATATTAATAAACATGGATAAATTCATCATACATTTGTCAGTGCAAAGGGAAAGGGATTCAACAAAGGAACAGCCACCGAAGAAATTAAAACTGGTACTTTTTCTAAAATTTGTAACATTTTATTAGATTATAGCAGGGCTTTTCAACCTTTTCACCCATTGTACCACTTTT